TGAGCCCCCAGCCCCCATAATCATGCCACTCGACTCTGCGCCCGGCTGTTTTCACTTGGGGTGCCCCAGAGAGGGGCAGTGAGAGCCCTCCCCGCCCCAAGGAATCCAGCCCTGGCAGTCGACCTCCATTACCCAAACACCGCCACGCTCCAGGCCACTTTCCACACACGCAAGCCAAGCCACACATATGAGTGAACACATTCCTGGACACACCATAAGATTTAATTTTTAAAAATAATTTAAAAAGCAAGTGATAAATATCCTTATAGTTCTGAAAAATACCACCCCAAAAATAAAAGTACATATATACATATATATATGTATATATATATATATATATATCATGAATGTTTTTCTATGGGAAAAATAACCTTCAATATAAAAAAATAAATTTCACAAAATTAAAACCATAACAGAAGCAACTGGCAGAATTAAGTAACAATTTGGGGGGATGGGGGTAGAGAGGGGCCGCACACAGCAGTGTTCAGGACTTATACCCCGCTCTGCACTCAGGGGTGAGGGGACTGGGGGGCAGGGGATATAAGGTGCCAGGTTCGCAACCAGGACAGCTGCACCAAGGCACACACCATGCCCACTGTACTACTTGCTACAGCCCTAAACACCAAAATTTAAGACTTGTTCTTACTTGCTGAGAAAGTACTACTTTTAAAGACTGACCTTTATTATTTTACATTTTATTCTGTATGGACTGGAGCAAAAGCATAGCGGGTAGGGTGTTTGCCTTGCACACAGCCGACTTGGGTTCGATTCCTCCGCCCCTCTCGGAGAGCCCGGAAAGCTACCGAGAGTATCCCGCCCGCACAGCAGAGCCTGGCAAACTCCCCGTGGCATATTCAATATGCCAAACACAGTAACAACAAGTCTCACAATGGAGACGTTACTGGTGCCTGCTCGAGCAAATCAATGAACAACAGGAGAACAGTGTTACAGTGTTTATTCTGCATATGGAATAGGCACTTTTACATTGTTAATCCACTCCATAAAACATCAGATTAAACAAGCAAGCATCTGGACCATACCAACAGGGAAACGTACTGAGAAGCAATTTTCCCCGGATCCAGTTGTCTGTTATTATTTGGTCCAGGACAACAGTGGTTTTCCAATGCTCATATTCTCTAACACAGAATCCAAAGCAGTTTTCTCCTATGCTTCACAATTTGTACTTAAAAGTCAAGATTTTCTTTATGTATTTTTTCCATCCCAAACTATATATTATGTACCAGCCTATAAGCATCGGGGGTGCAAAGAAACTAAAGTTATGGCCTCTGGCCACCTAGTTTTTTTTGTTTTTGTTTATTTACTTTTTTTTTAATTAAAAAATTTTTTAATAGTGAGACATCATGAGGTACAGTTGCTGACTTACACATTTTTGTGCTTGGGTTTCAATTATACAATGATCAAGTACCCATCCCTCCACCAGTGCCCATTTCCCACCACCACGGATCCCAGTATTCCTCCCACCCCCCATCCCACCCTGCCTCTGTGGCTGGGCATTACCTTTTGTTCTCTCTCTCTTATTGGGTGTTGTGGTTTGCAAAAGAGGCAATGGGTGACAATCATGTTTAGTCTATAGTCTACTTTCTGCATGCTTCTCCCATCCTGGGAGGATCCTCCGAACACTTTTATTTGGTGTTCCCTTCTCTATCTGAGCTCCCTTTTCCCCTAGTATGTGTGGTTGGCCTCCAAGCCATGGCGTAAAATTCCTGGTACTAATCTTGGCCATTCTTGGGTGTTAGTTTCCTATTTTGTTACTTTATGTTCCCCAGATGAATGCAACCTTTCTATGTCTATCCCTTTCTTTCTAAGTCATTTCACTTAACATGATACTTTCCATGTAGTACCACTTGTATGTAAATTTCGGGACTTCTTCTTTTCTAACAGCTACATAGTACTCCATTGTGTAAATGTATCAAAGTTTCTTTAACCAGTCATCTGTTCTTGGGCACTCAGGTTTTTTCCAGATTCTGTCTATTGTAAAGAGTGCTGCAATGAACAAACAAGTGCAGATGTCACTTCGACTATACATTTTTGCCTCTCTGGGATATATTCCCAGGAGTGGTATTGCTGGGTCAAATGGGAGCTCAATTTCTAATTTTTTGAGAATCGTCCATACAGTTTTCCAAAAGGGCTGAACCAGTTGGCATTCCCACCAACAATGAAGGAGTGTCCCTTTCTCGCCACATCCGCGCTAGCACCGGTTTCTTTCGTTCTTGTGGATATGTGGCCACCTAGTTTTACTCGGTCCATCTAGATCTGTGTGTGTGTGTGTGTGTGTGTGTGTGTGTGTGTGTGTGCGCGCGCGTGCGCGCGGGCAAGAGCAGCACATTTCCCAGCCCCTCCCCCAGCACATATGGGACACAATGAAAACCGCCCTGGCTGAGGACACTTGGGAGCTCTGTTTCGTCTCTGGCAACCCCTCACACAGAAGCTGCCTTACACCCATCGGCTTCACCATGCTCAGCTAATCTGGCTATTATGAGTAATAAAAAGTTTCAGAAGAAGCTTTTCCCCTGATTTTTCCAACAGTTAGCTGATTCTTTCTTAACACCATTTGTAAAACGTATAAACAGTTGGGTCAGAGAGAATACAGGAATTTAAAGCTCCTGCCTATCCGGTGGTTGACTCTGGCTTGAATCCCCAGTAAAACCAACAGTGAGAAACAATACTTGCAAAACAAAAGCTATTAGACATACCATGACAAAATAATAGAGCATGTCTTTTCATGAAGCAAGCAGAAATTACATCCACTTCTTTGAAAGTACACCAAGTTTTTCTACATGACAATATTCTTTTTACTTTCCCCTGGTTTGGGGGCCATACCCAGCAGTGCTCAGGGTTGACTCCTGGTGGCTTGGGGACCATACAGGGGTCAGTGAGAGGAGCCGGGCTGGCAGTGCGCCAGGCGAGCACCCACCCACTGTGCTATCATTCAGTCTGGCCCTCATAGGTCAGGACTTTCACAGAAAAGCTTAAGAATTGTTTTCTAAGCTGTCAGTTTTCTAGCCAAAATAAACAAATTCTTAATTCTAAGTGTACAAACCAAGAATGAGAGATTTTCCAGGACATCACTTTAACATGACTCTGAACACCCTTCACCCACAAATAGAAACTGAAAAGGCAGCTGTGTTTCAGGATGCAATCAACTGGCTTCTACGTCCACCTGATTTAGCAACGAAAACAGATCCTGGAGAAGTGGACAACGAAGACTAAAAAGCAATGTGAAATGACTAGGATTCTACAATGGCCTGAGAGGGTCTGTGTAAAAACTGAAACTGTCCCTAGATATGCATGCTGAGACTATAAATGTTTCCCTGAGAAATTCAAATCTCTCATGTGAAGACTTTAAATTTCTATTCTTCTACTACTTACATCTTCAAGCTATAAAGAACTAGACATTTCTTCACTAATTACATCACTGATGTGCCCAATTAAACAAACACAATCATTTTGGGTTCTTTATCACCAAGACCTCTCGAAGGGATATGAAATATATACATAAATGTTGCCAGGAATCCACAAAAATAAAATTTAGCATTGAAGATAAAATTCTAACATTTGCAATTTTTTTTTATCCTTACAATCTTTGAAGGGCTGGAGCAACAGCACAGCAGGTAGGGCATTTGCCTTGCACACGGCCGACCCAGGTTCAATTCCTCCGCCCCTCTCGGAAAGCCCAGCAAGCTACCGAAAGTATTTTACCCGCACGCCAAAGCCTGGCAAGCTCCCCGTGACATATTCAATATGCAAAAAAAACAGTAACAAGTCTCACAATTTGTTGTGAGATGTTACTGGTGCCTGCTCGAGCAAATCAATGAACAATGGGAGGACAGTGCTACTGTGCTACAATCTTTGAAAAAGATCTATGTTGATTTTCCAAAAGAAGTTAGTTTCAACAACTTAATGACTACTTTTGTTGGTAAAAACACAGTTTTCCCCATAATCACTGTACTTAATCATTAAGTAAAAATGCAGCTGTGCTATCCAAGAGATTTCTAAACTAGATTTTAAAAAATTCAAGTTACACAAATTTGGTTCAAATAGGCATCTGAAAATTTGTAGTCAAAACTAAAAAAAAGAAAAAAAAAACTAAACAAACAAACAAAAAAAGAGTTGGAGCTGGAGTGATAGCACAACTGGCAGGGTTTGCCTTTCACACGGCCAACCCAGGTTTGATTCCCAGCATCCCACACGGTCCCCTGAGCACCGCCAGGAGTAACCCCTGAGCACTGCTGGGTGTGACCCAAAAAGCAAAAAAAAAAAAAAAAAAAAAGACATCTTTTAAGTACTATTTCCAATTTGAGTTTTAAAGTAAATTAAATTTTACCAAGATATTGTCAGATCCTATCTGCCACCAAAAATTAAAGAGCAAAATTTAATCAAAATAAGCATAATCACAATTATCTAAAAGAAATTATATCTACTCTCCAAATTTGTTAAATTCTCAAAATACATACAGCTATATCCAGAATATGCCAAAAATAGCAACACTCCTTAAAGCTGATGAAAGCTGTTATTTTAAAATTTCAACACCAGCATTTCATTCAGGTATTAAATTTTCTGTTAAAAATCTTAAAGTCAGTAAGTTTAATAAAAGTGATACTTTATATATTTTTTATGTTTTTTATCATTAAAGTTTTTATTTTAGGCACTGATTTGCAATATTGATAATGGAAGGGTTCTGTGCATTAAACATTCCAACACCACATTTTTCACCAGTGTCAGCTTCCCTCTACTGCTGTCCCAGTGTCCCTCCACCCTGTCCTTTTCCGCATTCTGCCTTACAGAAAGTGACTCTTCTTTAAAAAGTCACATTTGTAGACTGTCAAATAATTGATACACATATGAACAAAACTACAACTTCATGTGTGCATGAACAGCCAGCAGTGACTTAGGAAATAACTTGACAAGAGGAAGGTTCCCAAGACACAGCATCTGTCCTGCTACGACACAGACACGGTTTCTTCTAAAACAGCACTCACCACTTCTTCCAACGCAGCGCTTCGCCCAAAAGAACAGGTGAGGTGTGTGAGGCAGTTCACGAAGGAGGAGAAAAGCTCATTTGGAATGGCAGTTAGAACATTCCGGGGGAACACAGTAATTAGGTTGCTGATAATACTGGAGATTCCCACAGCTTCAGAATCTTCTATTTCAATTCTACAAAACATACAAGCTTTTAGGGGGGCTAACATGAAGTGCCAGTACCTTGTTTCCAAATACACAGAGTATCATCTAGCCATTTTTCAACATGGTTTTGTGTATTAACTTCAAATTACCCATAACCGCACTCCAAAACACTGAGAATCACTAGCTTCTTTTTCATTGCACTGTTTAAGATAAAGAAAACACTGGAAGTTCCTTTTCCAGATATAAAAGGCAATTGTACCTACCCATTAATAGTATTCAGCAATCCCTCTATGAAGTGTGCTAGATAATCAACCTGCGAGCCTTCATCAGGGAAGACAGGTCCATGCAGAGAAGCCAGCTGGGCAAGGCACTGCAAAGAATCTTGTGCCATATCTGAGTCTTCTCTGATTTTTCGATGTACCTGTTAGAAAGAATCACTAATCCATAAAAATGAAGTCATTTATAAAGGGCCACATATCTATAGTGACAAATGAAGAGAAAAATTCACTGTTGCTGGTTATTTCTAGAAAATCATTTCCCGAAATCAAAGTAATCTGAGTTTGGACCTCAGTTCATTTCACATTATGGTTATTGGCCGTGTTTAAACCCAACAAACAACAAACTTTTAACTGAGGACTACCTGTATTTTGAAAATGGAACTGTCTCCAGCATGTTGACAAAGAGAGAAACAGATGCCAGCCAGGCAGACATACTGCTTCTTCTAAAAACAGCAACGACAGTCATCTGTATTATGCTAACTATGCCTAGCTACAGTTTCTTGCTAAAGTTAGCAGACAAGTTCAATCAAGATCATATAGATGCTGTTTTTGTGGAAGTCAACAGTTGCACATGTAGAAACCAATGTACTACTCAATTCCTGGGCCTCTGAATAACTACAAAATCCAATTAATACATAAGCATCCTCTTGTTGATTCTGAAATTGCCGACGATTTGCATGAATCTCCTTTAATCCCAAAACACTAGTAGTAATTTTCTAATAGAAACCTTGTCTAGATTTTATCCCACTGACGTGCTATTACTGTGAGATACCTGACATGAAGCATTCTGAATTATGCCCCCTGACTTTATAGTGATAGTTTTCTCAGATTTTCAAGATGTTTCACTTCTGTGACCTGACACTAAAATAGTCTAAATGTTTTAAGAAATGATGGCTTACTTACTCCACTACAACATTTATTGGACTATCTTGTTTGTCCAGAAGCACCTGACTTACCCATGCCTTCTTTTCCTATGCAAATCTCCCTACTTTGTGAATGTCATATAATTGTAAACATTTTTTCTTTTTATTAAGCTTATTCTGCCAATCCTGTTGTGAATGGCATGTAAGCTGAAACATTTTCTTCTATATTAATCGGTAGAGTGCCTGCCCAGAACTGAACAGACCCTGGAATTCTTATTCACTCACTAATCCCGTTAATCTTTCATTAATCCCTGACCTACATAAAGTCATTAAGAAATTTAAAATACATAGTCACTGAAAGTAAGAGAATTAATTTATCTATAGACGTGCTGAAAGTGTTACCCTCAGTGGTTCTGCATGGGGGCTGGAATGCCCAGTGCACAGAGCAATCTGTCCTCTGTCTGTTTTCCTTATGGCTCGGGGGATGAGAATTTTACATTTTTAAGCAGTTAGGAAAACAAAAATTAAAGAACTATATTTCAAGAAAAAACATAGAAATTTTTATGAAATTCACATATAAGCAGTGTCACCAGTTTTGCTGGCACATGGTCACACTTTCATCATGTGGGAAAATGATAAAACGTGAACTATGGTCACACCATAGTTCAAGTATGGGCTATATATTTCTGTATTCTAATGTCAGAGCAGAATTAGTGCCACAGTTAAAGAACTTGCCTGATATTTTCTCTTTGGCCTTTGCAGAAAAGCTGTGCTAATCACCAGATCTAAAACATCACAAATACCTTTCAAAACATATCCGAATTCATATAGTTGCACTAATTCATAAGCCTTTAAACACAACTCATTTTTAAGTTTCTTACCTATAATCTATAACTAAATCCCTGTCATTATGCCTTTTAGCTTAATAAAGATTTAAACATGATACCCAGAAATACAATCTACAGACACAGGTAATCTGGGAAAACAGGTTTCTTCTCTATTGATAAAAGGAAATAGCTCTTTGTTCTGGTTTAGAGATGAACAATTAAAGAATAACTTTGATGAAAAAGCTTACAATGATATAATAAGAAGCTGTTTTCAGAGCATACACACTTCTTAGGCTACTTTATGATCTCTGAAACTCATGAAAAATCAATGGTTAATTAATAATGCAATAGTCTTGCCCTCCTTCTAATGTCAACATTACAAAGGAGTTCTACCATAACTGAATTATTCAAATCAAAAACTTGGACTTATCACCTGAATAGGGAAGGCAGAGCTTAGAATAAGAGAAAGGCTAGCAAAATGTACAGAGAAATAAACGGTAGAACAAGACAAAGAATAAAGACAAGACAAAAGCGAGGTTAGTAAAATGATCAATTGTACAATGCTGAGTCAGTTTGTGGGTCATTTAAAAGAAAACACGTAATAAGCACTTGAATTATTATGAGTTTTGGGGGGAAGGAGGCTGTTGGGGTACACCCAGCTGAGTTCAGGACTTGTCCTAGCAGTGCTCAGAGGACCATATGTGTACCGGGATTGAACGGTGGTGGTTCGCCTGCAACATCTTACCCGCTGTACTCTCACCCCAACACTTGGGTTATAATGCACTGACTCTCGGGAGTAAACCATGTTGAAGGGATTCAGGATTCATTCACATTGAGATAGTAACGAAAGTCTTTCACATGGAAGAAACAGTCCAAAAGAAGTCTGCAGTTAGCAAAGCTGAGAATGAAAGGATGCTAAACTGTTATGTAACGGGCCCAGAAAGGAGAGATCATAAATGGATCCAGAAAAATCTGCCAAAAGGGGAGAAGAAAAACCTAAAACTAAGGCAAATGAATGATTTTTCCAAAATCTCATAAAGGAAAGGAAAATCAGAAAGTTTATCAACTTCTGAGGGTCAGAATGTAAACTGAAATATACCCATCTCAGATATGCTCATTGTATGTAGAGTCTCGCTCCATGCAAGAGAATACTTACGTGTCTCCTAAACTGAAGGAACTAATGATAACCAACAAAAAAGTGTTTAAAAAGAATATCGATGAATTCACATATTTAAAAACAAAATTTTGTTAATTTTTCTTTTTGTTAAAGAGAGTGAAAGAGACCAGCCATTATTTTGTAATACATAACAAAATTCAAAGTATTTGCAAACTGTTTAAACTAAGCTACATATGCAATACTGTTAAAATAACATCATGAAAAAGGGTTAACTTTCAAACTCTAAAGTTCTTTGCATGTGGTAGTTCACAGCTGACAGAGCAGCTGGCTGCACTGTCTGGACAGCTGTTCAGATTTGTAGTGGTGGTTTCCAGTACCGCCAGCAAGTTCTTCACCTCTTCAAAAGCTGCTGGAATGGGACCTACTTTCAGCCAAATGAACCATGCAAAGAATCAGCCTTGGTTACATAGCAAACCAATTTCCCTAAGATGGAACAGGCAACAGAAATTTAAAATTTAGTTACAGAGATCTCGTAGATATTCATAGTTTCTAATCATTTCTTTGGTCTAAAGAATAAAGTGCAAAGTAATACTTGGTTTGAGAATTTCTTCACGCTGGGTGGATAACTGTCCCAGATATTTAAAAGTAAACACATGCCATAAATTACTATAATATTTTATTTATATTTATTTTTTTGGTTTTGGGGCAATACCTGATGATGCTTGGGGCTTACTCCTGGCTCTGCACTCAGGAATTAATCCTGGTGATGCTCAGGGGACCATATGGGATGTTGGGGATCGAACCCAGGTCTGCTGCAGCAAGGCAAGCACCTTATCCACTGTACTATTGCTCCAGCTCCTAACTACAATATTTTATTTTTTCTTGGGGTCACACCCAGCAATGCTCAGGGGTTCCTCCTGGCTCTGCACTCAGAATTATTTCTAGTGGTGCTCAGGGGATCATATGGGATGCCAGGGATTGAACCCAGGTTGACCGCATGCAAGGCAAGGCCCTCATCACTGTACTATCACTCCAGCCACAAACTAAACATTTTAAGTAATTCAGTGAAAAATAAAAAGCAGTTCCAAAAAGGTTAATCAACTCTTTTAAAACAAATGGAAATGTATACATTTATAATTAGCACAGGAGATAAAGTAAAATAACCTTACTTTGCTTCATTTATTATATTTAACTTGTACATTCACCCTTTAACTATAGATCAACACCCAACACCCCCTCATACACACACCTTACTCACACCCTTTATATATCCCTACTCACACACATACCCTGCCGCCCCCCTCCCCCCGACACACAAGCGCATCTCTACCGTGCCAGGGAAACTTGTGAGTAAACATGGGAATATACTGTGTACTTGATATTTAGCAAGTACTAAGACTTTAAGTCTACAGTTGAAATAAGTTGCTATTCAATAACCTGTGACTAACCATTAGTACATAAAACAGTACTACTTTAGAGCAACAGTTCTCAAAATATGGCCCAGAATTCCTAAAGGTTCTGAAAAACTTAGGTACAAATTCAAAACTGTTTTCATAATACTACTAAAAGGGGGCTGGAGCAATGGTACAGCAGGTAGAGAGCTTGCCTTGCATATGGCTGCCCCGGGTTTGATCACTGGACCCCATATGGGCGTGCTCAGGGATCATTACTTCCAGAAGTACTCCCTAAGTACAAAGCCTGAGCACGACTGGGTGTGACCCCCAAAACAAAAAACAAACAAAATAATAATAAACCTGTATTTTCCTTTTGTTTCATTGCCACTCAAGTATAGTGGAGTTTCCCCAAGGTATAGGGCATGTAATACTGCAACCAACTGAAAGCATAAAAAGGCAGGAAACTCTGGCTAGCTCCCACTCAGTCTGAAAACCATGGAGATCCGCAAAATCTAAAGCAATGCCTGCAAGTGTTCTCATTAAACATTAAAATTTTTGGGTTGCAAAAATATATCAAAGTGTTGCCAAAATATCATTTACATTAGCATACGGTGATGCAGATTGCTATCTTTAAAGCATCCTACTCATTTTTAAATGATTAAAAAAAATTGAAGTCCCCAGTCTGAACTTGTAACACAGCATACAAATCCATACAGTCAACATTAACCAAAGGTCTTCAGGGCTGGCTATTCTTAAAGAGTGTAAAGGAGCTCTGTTTCACAGCTCCTCTGCACAAGGAGTTATTACTTTATAAATCAGTAAGGCCACTTTGAGCTGCTCCACGGACTAAGAAAGAGGAGAAAAGAAATCTGCCTGTTCTACTGAGCAAACTACAGAGGCATGAGCTCCTTGCAGCCTTGCAGCCCTGTGCCCAAAGGGGAACACACACTTACAGTGAAGAAAAGCTCCATCACTCTGCTGTCCAGAAGCGTCTCCCGCCAGGACTCTGTCGGCTTCAGCAGCACATTTTGTGAAGACTCAAACATAGCGATATAATGCCTGCCCAGTAAGCTGTGTCAAGGTCAACAACAATCGCATGGTACTTTGTTTACAGAGTAAGTATATCCTAGAGATAAAAGAAGCCATCAGAAAAGCACGGGATGAAAACAGTTTAACCCTCTTGACGAACACCACATATTTCATGCATGAAGCTATGGAAGAAAACAGGCATGCAACGGCTAGGGGATGGGGAATGTTACAGGAATGTAAAATACCAGTTTTCATATAATTCTGTACCCCGCTAAAAAGTTTTAGAGACTCTGAAAATCATAGAGCTGAACAGTGAAACAGGGGAAAAAAATACTAATGCAAAATAGATATCAAAGATCAATTTCTGCATGTTTGATCCAATAATTCTCCCAGAATCTCCTAACACATACATACACAAAATATGACGCTCAAAGAGCAGCATCTTCTTCTAAAGAAATCTTTTCACAGGAAATTTTTTTTAAAGGAACAGGAGGAAGTATGAAAACCTTCCACATATCAGAACATCCAAATGCTGATAGCACACAAGAATCAGCCAAGAGTCCAGGGAGAGGGCTCAGGTGTCAGAGGACAAGCCTAGCTCATGCAAGGTCCTGAGTGTGACCTCTGACGTCAGTGGGTTCTGACCGAACACTCTCCGGGGTTCCCGAGTACTGACAACAAAACAGACGACAATGGTAACAGAAGACACCAAACATGCTCACTTGAAATTCCCACGGATCAGGCAGCAGCTTTTGTGATGTTCAGTAACATGCTTAACAAATACAGTCTGTCACATACAAAAAGTCATAATATACTGGTATGTGTTTATAATTAACTCAACGACTTTAACAACTGAGTGTAAAGGAGTTCTGTTTCCCAGCTCCTCTGGGTTACCAAGCTCTGAGATATAAAGAAATGAGTAAGCTATTAAGACATAAAGACAATAATTGCTAATAAACGCAAATGTGCTGCAAAGGTACAACAACTAAACATTCTCACAATGAGAAATTTTTGTTGTTAAGAAATAACAGTACACAAATTATATCACACAAAATTAGAGAATAGCCATCAAGAACTTCACTAATGAATTTCAAACCAATAAACCTTTCAATGACCAGTACTTTAAAGACATTTAAGAATTCAAACAGACATTTAGCTCATAGCAATTTACTCTCAACAAGTCATTTCTACAAATTATCACTGAATCAGGGGCTGGAGTGATAGTACAGTGGGTAGGGTGCTTTGTGTAGCATGCAGCCAACCCGGGTTCAATCCCCTCCACCCCATATGGTCCCCTAGGCCTGCCAGGAGTGATCCCTGAGTACAGAGGCAGGAGTAAGCCCTGAATACCACCAGATGTGCCAACAAAACAAACAAAAATTATCATTAAATCACACTACATTTTGAGTATTCAAATAGGATGTCATTAAAGTAAAAATGTAGTTAAAGGGTTCTCTCATAGAATGGTTCCCTGAAAATGGTTAATATCTAAATATCTAAACATCAAGCATGTTTGTCTTCCAGTATCAACAGGCACTATTACTCAAAAATGCTGTCCTGTGTTGTACTGTGTGACCTCCTTGAGCACCTGCTGTCCACTGGGAGGGCCAGGCAATGGCATGGCTTCCTCTGACATGGGGCACTATGAAGAGTCCAGGAGCACGGGCCTACCATCAACCCAAACCCATGCAGCTGAGGAGAAATTCCAAGAACAGCTTCCAAACCTCTAACTTTCAAACTACATATAAGCTCAAACCTCAGAAGTTATTCTGGGCTAAGTGCTCGGGGGTCTTTCCTGGCAGGTTCTTAAAGGTCCCTGTAGTGCAGGAATAGAATCTGGAACTTCTGTGTGAAAGCATGCACTCCAGCCCACTGAGATATTTCTCCAACCCTGAAGCCCAAACTGTTAACTAGAAAGCTGAATACTCAGATCACTTCACTTAATCACTTAACTTCCCGTTAGTCGTCGATTTGCTCGAGCGGGCGCCAGTAACGTCTCCATTTGTCCCTGTCGCGTGCTAGTGTAGCCCAATGGCATCTCTTCGCTCCGGGAACATGGAGGGCCTCAAACCGATCGTTCATGATCTTGACAAAGAAGTCTGACCATCTGGTAGGTGGGCGGCCACGCGGTCTCTTGACATCCCGTGGAATCCAATCAGTAACAGCTCTAGTCCAACGGTCGTCTTTAAATCTCATTACGTGACCAGCCCATCTGATTTTCGACACCTTGGCAAATGAGACAGCGTCCCTGATCCTTGATCGTAGACGGATGTCAGAACTCCGGATTCGTTCTCTCATTTGAGTGAAACGTGATATTCCAAGCATAGCTCTTTCTATTCTGGTAATCCTGCTCAGTACGAGAGGAACCGCAGGTTCAGACATTTGGTGTATGTGCTTGGCTGAGGAGCCAATGGGGCGAAGCTACCATCTGTGGGATTATGACTGAACGCCTCTAAGTCAGAATCCCGCCCAGGCGGAACGATACGGCAGCGCCGCGGGAGCCTCGGTGGGCCCCGGCTAGCCGGTCCCCAGCTCGTCCCCGCTGGCGGGCCGCGCCTTCGCCGGCGCGTCCCCCGCCGCGCGTCGGGACCGGGGTCCGGTGCGGAGAGCCGCTCGTCTCGGGAACCGGGGCGCGGCCGGAAAGGCGGCCGCCCCCTCGCCCGTCACGCAACGCACGTTCGTGGGGCACCTGGTGCTAAACCATTCGTAGACGACCTGCTTCTGGGTCAGGGTTTCGTACGTAGCAGAGCAGCTCCCTCGCTGCGATCTATTGAAAGTCAGCCCTCGACACAAGAGGGAACGTGAGCTGGGTTTAGACCGTCGTGAGACAGGTTAGTTTTACCCTACTGATGATGTGTTGTTGCCATGGTAATCCTGCTCAGTACGAGAATACTCAGATAGTGCTTGGGAAGTAGGGTATTTGCCTTGAGGCCAACCCGGGTTCAATTCCTCTGTCCCTCTCAGAGCCCGGCAAGCTACCGAGAGTATCCTGCCTGCACCGCAGAGCCTGGCAAGGTACCATGTCGTATTCAATATGCCAAAAATAGTAACAAGTCTCACAATGGAGACGTTACTGGTGCCTGCTCAAGCAAATCGATGAACAACAGGAGGACAGTGCAGTCCAGCACTATTTTTGTTTGGGGGCCACACCTAGCACTGCTTAGGTCCTATTCCTAGCTCTGAGTTCAGGAATCACTCTTGGTGGTGCTTGGGGGACCATACGGGGTGCTGGGGATCAAACCTGGCTAGGTCAGCTTCATGCAAGTTTGCATGCCCTACACACTGTACTACTGCTCTGATCTCTGGAGATGCTTTTTTAAAGACTATAATTTAACTCCCCCTAGAAATATCCAGTTATTACTGTAAAAACATGAAAAGGCATTATAAATTGTTTCAGAAGTCACTCTGAAAAGTTATTCCAAAAGTGTTCAGTGACTGGGGCCGGAGTGATAGCACAGTGGGTTGGGTGTTTGCCTTGCACGCGGCTGACCCGGGTTTGATCCCCAGCATCCCATATGGTTCCCTGAGCACTGCCAGGAGTAACTCCTGAGTACAAAGCCAGGAGTAACCCCTGAGCATTGCTGGGTGTGACCCAAAAAGGAAAAAAACAAAACAAAATAAAAATGTTCAGTGACTGATGAATAAAAATGAACTTCAAATAGGATTCACTTAAAATTCCACTTTGCAGGGCTGGAGCGATAGCACAGTGTGTAGGGTGTTTGCCTTGCACGCAGCCGACCCGGGGTTCGATTCCCACCATCCCATATGGTCCCCTGAGCACCGCCAGGAGTAATTCCTGAGTGCATGAACCACGAATAACCCCTGTGCATCGACGGGTGTGACCCAAAAAGCAAAAAAAAAAAAAAATCCACTTTGCTCTTCCTTCTTCTGCCCCCTTGTGGGGGCACAGAGAAAGGAATAAAATCCATAGAAAGGAACTCAAAATATCAAGACCGAATTTCAAAGGAAAAAAAAATCAGCCCAGGGTCACCAGCATCTGAGGGCCTGGAGATATAGGACAACAGGCAGGGTGTTTGTTCTACTAACACGTAGCTAACCCAGGTTTGATTCCCCCACACCACCCGACAGAGCCCCAAAACAAACCAGAACTACCAGTACATAAATAATATCTAAAAGTGATTTTATTTTCTTGCTGAACACCTATTTTGGTATAAAACTGTTACTACAGTGCTATTCAATCAATGTAATACCTTTTTATATGACTGAAAGTGAATACAAGTATCTTTTAAAGAAGGTCAAATATTTGTGGATGAAATTATCTGCTGCTGTAGCGACTAAAACCTCATGGGAAGGGGGGCGTTCCGGTCCGTCCTTCATGCCCTACCGAGGTCACCAGTTGCCCCCCACGAGCGGCTCTCCAGCACGGCCATGGCCCCAGAAGCACAAGGACTTAATGCAGAATCCGGCAGCTTGGAACAGAAAAGTGAACGGACTATGCGTTAATCCAGGCCATCAGGTCTGTCCGGAGGGGAAAGGGTGTTGCCCCAGTCGCCTTCTCCTCTCTGGAAAGAAAGATGGCGGCCGTATGGGAGTCTTGTGGACAGCAGGTATGAGCCGGGGGTGTGGGGGCGACTAAAACCTCATGGGAAGGGGGGGCGTTCCGGTCCATCCTTCACGCCCTACCGAGGTCACCAGTTGCCCCCCCGCGAGCGGCTCTCCAGCACGGCCAAGGCCCCAGAAGCACAAGGACTTAATGCAGAACCCGGCAGCTTGGAGCAGAAAAGTGAAAGAACTATGCGTTAATCCAGGCCATCAGGTCTGTCCGGAGGGGAAAGGGTGTTGCCCCAGTCGCCTTCTCCTCTCTGGAAAGAAAGATGGCGGCCGCATGGGAGCCTTGTGGACAGCAGGTATGAGCCGGGGGACTGGGGGGCGACTAAAACCACATGGGAAGGGGGGCGTTTTGGTCCGCCCTTCACGCCCTACCGAGGCCACCAGTTGCCCCCCACTAGCGGCTCTCCAGCATGGCCACGACTCCAGAGCACAGAAACCAATTTCTTAACTATCTGACTTTCAGTA